GCATCCAGATGAATGGGGACAGTGATGGCAGTCATAATGAAAGCTAACAAGTTTAAGCCATCTACAGGGATTGTTTCATTTAATCCTCACATCCCTGAGACAGGTGCTATTATTACTTTTTTTTTTTTTTGCCAATGAGGAGTCTGAGTTAGAAAATTGGAGTAATACCCAAGCTCACTCAGCAGATTTGAAACAAAAGACAGATCTGAACCATGCAGTGTAGCTCTACAGTGTGACCAGTCTGCTAGGGGATGGTGGTCCCTTGGCTTGGTTGGGCCCAGGACATGGGAGAAGGAGGCTAATTCTCAGCACCACTCATTTCAACAAATGGACATCATGATGCTTGAAAGCTGATGGATGCTCCCATCCTTTCTGGAACACTGGCAAGTGTTTGACAAGTCTATGACTTCCAAGGTCATTTTCCCCCCTCTGCAACCCAGTACTGACTGGCTCCTTTCCAGTCTCCAGGCACCTCATTCATATCTGTCCATTTCCCTCAAAAATAACTGCTAATGGCTCTCCAGTAACTCCAGCCAACTCCTTAAGGGCTCTTGAGAGCAGATCATCTGGGACAGCTAACAGAACTCAGCCAACTTTTTAAAGGTGATCTTTGATCGTATTTCTCTTGTACATCAATGTTTCTCTCCCCCTTTTTCCTTCCCATCCCCTCTCTCTAAAAATAAATAAAATCTTTAAAAAAATAAGTGATCTTTGATGAGCTCTTTTTTTGTCTCCACCTTCCCACATAATCTAAGTTGGCTGGTCTGCTTCACCTCACACATTGCTTTCTAAACCAAGAGCAGAGCAAATCAGTTCTGAATACAGAGTATAAAAGTTGGGAGAGAGGAGGAGGATATTTGAAAGCCAGAAGATTCAGACACTCAGCTTCTCAGACCAGAATTCCTTTCCCAAATCCAGCTCATGACTATTGATTTCACCTGGTTGCCATGGAAGCATCAGTCTCTGGTGATGGCAAGCAATATTTCAGACAGACAGCATCACAGGCTACCATGGAAACACTAAAGAGAGTAAAGCTGCCTCTTCTCTTGAGGAGTGAGGAAGGAAGAGATAAAGCTGCCAGGGAAGGCAGGCTAGAAGGGACAGCCTTTGGAAAGCCTGGCTCCAACTTGAACAGAGAGGGAATTAATCCCACAGACATGTAATATGTGCAAAGCAAAGCAATAATGAAGAGGATACATCTATCCTTGGCCTCATTCAGCCATAACCATCATTTAATAGAGTTCACAAAGAACTGTAAATAAAGGCATAAGAAGACCTATAATAGGACAAATACCAAAAAGGGAATTCAGCTCCAACTGGGCAAGTTTCAGAGTCTTAAAGGGCTAGATTTCGATCACCAGAAGAGGGACAGGAAGAGAGCAAAATTAGCAGACGTAGTCGTGGAAATTTCAGGATTTACTGAGAAGTATGGGCGTAGAGACAGAAAAAGCAGCACTTCGCCATGACTTCAAGGCCTAGGTTTCCACAGTGGTGCTGAGAGGCAGGTTAAGATTAGGATCAAGGCATCTGAAGCTATACTGCCTAGATTGGAAAGCTAAATTTGCTAACTTTGTAATTGTGGGGCCAGTTAGTTAAGCTCTTTGGGTATCACTGTCCTCATTTACAGAGTAAAGATAATAAAAGAATCTACCTCAGAGGATCACTGGCGGATGAAATGATTCAATACATGTAAAGTGATTAGAACAGTGCCTAACCTCAAACAAATCCTACATAAATGTTAACAGTTACCATTGTGCCACTTCACTTTTTGGAGCCAGGATAGAATCTTCTAACTGTCCAAGTATTAATTCCTGAATCCCAGTGTCAAGAACACAGCAGTTTAAAGAAAAGGAAGAAGCCCTGGCCGGGTAGCTGACTTGGTTAAAACATTGTCCCCGATCAGCCAAGGTTGTGACATCCCCGGTCAGGGCACATACAAGAAGCAACCAAAGAATGCATAGGTAAGTAGAACAACAAATCAGTGTTTCTCTCCTCTTTCTTTCTCCCTTCTCTCTCTCTAGAATCAATACATTAAAATAAAATAAAATAAAATAAAATAAAATAAAATAAAATAAAATAAAATAAAATAAAAAAGTAAAAACAACCTAAAGAAAAGGGAGGGAATGTCACTGCCTTCGAGAAGACAGAAGCATAGGCTATAAGCCCAAAGTCAGGTGAAAGTCTTGTTATGAATTGAGAACTAGTGAGAAAATTCCAACCACTCTGGGAAAGGACGTGGGTCACAGCCTCACCTCTGCCAGGACCCTGGCCACTCCAGTCAGGCAGGAGAGGTTGAGGGAGATTTCTTTTACTGTAGGCTGGGCCCAGAGGCTGTTTCTTGCCCCCTTCTCTCCACTCCAACCACCCCCAATAGAGGGCTGACTAAGCACTGAGTCATACACAGTGACACTGGCTGTCACCCACTAGACGCAATCACCTTACATAGGTTAAGATTAGAGAAGGTATCTTTCTTCACTGTCACCATTGTCTCTGCCCCAGGAAGAGGATGCATGAGGCAAGACCAAATGAGGCAAGGAAGAACTGAGGTAAAAGGAACCAAAGCGCAGGAAGCCCAAAGTAGATAGAAGTGGGAACATAAAGAAACCAAGCAGAGTTGGGGGCCCATCTGAGGAGGGAAGGGAGGCAAGGCCTGTGGCCATTTATAGTATGGAGGAGTTCAAGAACACCATGAAGAGGCCTAGTCCATAGCTTCAGGATGACTAACAAAAATGGTCTACGCTGTGCTTCTCAGGATGCATTAGCAGTCAGATCAATACATACAGGGGGACTGGACCATAGCCAGCTGCATCCACCTAAAAATAATGCATCCTCCTTCCCTTCCCCAAGGTCCAGAGAACAAACTAGGATAGGGAAAAAGGGTGGTAGTAGCAGCAAAAGAAACAGCAGCAGCAAGATTGCAGCAGCCTTGAAGAATCAAGAGTTAGTCCTGGGTCCCAGTGGTTTTTTAAGCCACAAACAGGCTTTGTATACTTAATACTTCAGTGTTAAAAGCAACCCAGAAGTTAACATCACCCAAAGCCATCACTCTGCTTCAGAAGTCTGAGAGCTGACAAAATAAAACCTTACAGCAATTATCCATATTTTTAGCAAGACAATAAAGGCTTAACATTCTGTTGCCATAGAGACCAGTAAAGAATGAAGGAGCCCTACAGAGCCCTGCCCCTGACCTCCTCCTCTTGGCTGGTTCTTAGCTGGTGAGCCAGGCTCTGAGGTCACCTGTTACAAGCCTTACAAAGCAGGCAGGGAGGAAGGTGTGCCTCTCCTTTGGTAGGGCCATTCCTGGAGTACTCAGCTCACTGAAAGTCACTGGTCCCAGGCAGAGCTATAGAAAGCAAGAGTTGAGATGACTGGGAGAAGACTTTAAGGCCAGAATAGTCCTGATGTATGATGCCCAAATCCATTTGGATATTGGACTGTGATTTCTGCTATAAACAGGGCCATGTATGGAGGCCAGTGGTAAGAATGGTGAACTTGGGAGGCTTCTCTGGTATCTAAGCTCCTCAAGATCATAAAATCCCCCAAAGGAAGGTGCAGAATGTGCTATTGTCACACTGCCACCTGGTGGAAAGACAAGATCTGTCCTTAGGCACAGAGACAAAGCTTGGAAGTCTGTCTGGTGGGCAGGTAGGTTTGGAGACAGTTAAGATGACAGATGGAAGAGACCTGGGGCAGAGTGTAATGCACATATAGATGGTGTATCTGTGTACAGGTGTATGCATGCCTTTTGTTCTCCTTCCTACAAAAAGGTTACAGGCTCACGGCTCCTCCTGTTTGACAAGACAGCCACAACCCTGAGACACGATGGTGAAGGGCAGAATGAAGGGATTTGGCCAGTACTGGGCACCTGGTTACCAGAGCTGCTTTTTAACTCTGGCAAAGTGGGTACTGTCACCATCAACAACCCCTTCATTGACCCCAACTACATGGTCTACATGTTCAGTATGAATGTACTCATGACAAGTTCAAAGGCACAGTCAAGGCTGAGAATGGGAAACTTATCATCAGTGGATGGAAAGTCTCTCTCCATCTTCCAGGAGCGAGATCCCACCATCAGATGGTGTGATGCCACTGCTGAATATGTTGTGGAGTCCCCTGGCGTCTTCACTACCTTGGAGAAAGCTGCAGCCAAGAGGGTCACCATCTCTGCCCCTTCAGCAGGTGCCCCCATGTTTGTGATGGGTGTGAACCGTGACAAGTATGAAAACTCCCTCAAGACTGTCATCGATTCTCCATGCCAACTGCTTGGCCCCCCTGGCCAACGTCATCCATGACAACTTTGGCGTCATACAGAACTCATAACCACAGTCCATGCCATCATTGTCATCCAGATTATGGATGGCCCCTCTGGGAAGCTGTGGTGTGATGACCAAGGGGCAGCCTAGAACATCATCCTTGCTTCACCCTGGTGCTGTCAAGGCTGTGGGCAAGGTCACCCCAAGCTGAATGGGAAGCTCTTTGGCATAGCTGTGTCCCCACCCTCCATGTTTGTTCTAGATTTGACTTGCCCCCTGGAGAAAGCTGCCAAGTATAATGACATCAAGAAGGTAGTGAAGCAGTCATCAAAGGGCCCCCTCAAAGGCATTCTGAGCTATACTGAAGACCAGGTTGTCTCCTGTGACTTTAACAGTGACACCCACTCCTCCACCTTCGATGCTGGGGCTGGCATTGCCCTCAGTGAACAGCGTCAAGTTCATCTCCTGGTGTGACAATAAATTTGGTTACCTCCAAAGAGTAAGAGCCCCCTGGACCACCAGTACCGGCACAAGGAAGAGATGCCCTCAGCTGCTGGGGAGTCCTTGCCCCAAATCCACCTCCCAACACACTAAGAATCTCCTGACCTCCAGGTTCCAGCCCAGATCTGCTGAAAGGGAGGGGCTTAAAGAGCCCTACCTTGTCATGCATCAACATTAAAGTTCACTGAACCCAGCATTCCCCAAAAGGTTGTATAACATTAAAATAAAAGAAAACACAAAGCCATCACAAATATTTTATATCCCTAGAACATTCATGGTTTTGGCTCATTAGAAGTTAACATCAGACATACTGACAGACCACACACACAGCCGCCACAACAATGAAGCTTGCCTTTTGTACAAAGTTTATATATATATATATATATGTGTGTGTGTGTGTATTTATGTACACACACACACACAAGGGTATAAAATTCAGTAAGAAGGGCTCACATGTGCCCAAGTAGGGGACAGGAGCAGCTTTAACAGCTGGGTGGAGCCCACAGTAGAGGCACATGGGAAGTGGTAGAGAATAGCAGCCTCCCCACCATCCTCCCACCCTGGACCAAAGGAAGTACCTGGGAGGAAGGACAACTAACTATACAAAGGAAGATGGAAGATACTTGAAAAGTGCACCATCTTTCCCTAAACTCCAGAATGCCCCTAAGACATCCAAAATGCCTGGCAGAATGGATCATTTCTACAGCTCCCAGCAAGATGCTGGGCCCACGGTAATTCTGGTCCCAAGCTGAGGTCTAAGGCAGGCTTCACAATGCACATACATGTCCCAGCTCTCTTCCATGGACCTTGCAGCGGCAAGCCAGCACCTTCAAGGTTCACCCCCTTGCCCCCAAACTCCAAAGTCCTCTTGGAGCAGAGGGCTTAAGGATTTTTCCTTGACAAAATAGTAGGGTAAAGGTACGGAGGAAGAAAAAAGAAGTCAGTTCCTTCTGTTAATGCCCATGGCCTTCCCAACATAGGAATCGAGGAATCACTAAGAGAGGGTTGGAAAGGGCAATGAAGATCATCTCAGGAGACGATGCACATGGAGAAACAGTGTTCAGTAATTGTTCTCTTGGACTAGTGGTTGCTTAGCAGAGTCCATTCCCACTGGGGCCACAGGCAGGAGAGCTTCTTGGTGTCTAAGGGTGGCCCCAATTCCTGCAGAGTAAATGTCCATGGCCTCAGGATGGCTTGGTCCACAAAACAGAGAGAAGGGGCCGTAGAAGGGCAGTTGTGAGGAAGGTAGTGGCAGGACCCCCCGGCACAGGGAGGCAATGTACTGTGCCACTGATTTACCTGGGGCAAGGAGAAGAAGTGAATGGAAGCCAAAGGAAGAAAATACCCAGTGACGAAAACAAGCAAGGTCCTGTGATTTACATGGTTTGGGGGGTAAAAAGGCTGGAAAGCTGGAAGCACTGGGAGGCGACTGCTTGAGAGGTGAGGTTCAGGGCTGGACTCAGAGCTGGAACACAGAAAGGCAAAGTGAGTTAGCACAGGGCATTCCTTCTTGCCAGGCCCCAACACTTCTCTCCCTTCCCCAAGTCCAAGTCTACCAGTCAGAGCTGCTGGGTTTAAGGCCCCCAAGGGAACTGCTCCATTCAGCTGCAAGGCAGCGGCCTGGGCAGCGGCAGCAGTGGCAGTAGCAGCTGTGGCTGGCAGCTGGATTCCAGAGCCTGAAAGGGAAAGAAAAGGTGCACAAAAGTCCCAACCCTTGGTCTACAATTCAACCCCATGCTGTTCACTCTGCAGAGAAACTCTACCTTCTGCCAATTTGGCCATGAGCTGTAAATGTCCACCTGCTGATCCTAGGTCCAGCTCCTGGTCTCCATCAGGAAAAGTGATGTCTGTGCTACCATCCAGTCGCTCAGTCACATGGCCAACCCTCATAGGTCGACCAGCAAGCTCAAAGCCATTCAACTGCTCCAGGGCCCGCCGGGCACATTCAGAGTCAGAGAACTGAAAGAAACCCAGACCAGATCAGTCACCTCTTGGTCACAAACTTGCCCTCAAAGCCCCACTAGCACTCCCTAGTCCTCCTATCCCAGGAAGCTGCATGCTTACTGCAGTACTAGTTTCTCAGGGAATGTAACATCAGATCCTCCTAAAATTGTTCTCTCAAAGGGTCCTTTTCTAACTGACTCAATGACAAATACTTTTCAATATTCCAGCTCCACTAAAAACCTAACAATGTAAAAAGTCTATTATCTGTAGGGAGCCTAGCCTGACAGGCTGTTTCACAAATGGACATATAAAACACAAGGAAGGCAGACCGAGAGCTAAGTCTCCTGGGCTTTTAGCCCTAGGAAGTTTCCATTCTCAGGAACACAGAATCTGGCCCTCCAGAGCCCAGCCTTAAGAGGGACACATTCTGGTGCTGAAAGGAAGACTGCACACCCTACCCCCCTCACTGCAGGGCTGCTGACTAAGTGACCTGCTGGGCCTCTACTCTCTTGTCCCTTTCATCAGCAACATCAGCAGCAGACTGGCATAAAGAGGATCCCAGTCTGCTGTTTAAGTGTCAACAGTGTTGACATAGAGGCAAAAGGGCTCCATAGAAGCCTTTCTGAATCTGAGTCACACAGGGAGTCAGAAAAGGTACTCACCACCAGGAACACCACAGCTGGCTTTGTTTACTCTGGTATCACCTGCCCTAGGGCCTGGCACGTGGTACTGACAGTTCAGAGGCAGGCGGTGTAGGTGGCCTGCCTTTACTGGATACTTTTGAGGTGAGCAATTGCCATGATAGAACACAACCTACCTCCCCTCTGCCCTGCAGGTAACTGTGGGGGTGTATGCTGCCTGGATTGAGCCCAGAAAATATCAGCTTCTATTAGACTTTGTGGCTGGCAGCCAGTCCTCAGCCTGGAGTCACATGGGGCTAGAAGAACCAGTTATGGGAACTGGAAACAATTTTGTTGGAGTGTCAGGAAAAGATGAGACTTGTTCACTATTACGTGGCCTCACTATTCTCCCTACAGTGGGATTTAAATATAAAGCTACTTCTCCAGGAAAACCTGCTTCAAACAGGGTAACACCAGAGGAAAGTATGTAACTTCTTATTCCCACCCCATCATGATAATATACCAATTCTATAAAGCATGTCTATAAAAGCCCATACCTAACCTCCCTCATACCTCCAACCTTTTAGTTGCAGTCTGGAATCATTACTATTACCCAAAGAGCAAGGAGCAGCACCAGGGACGGTGGTTGAACTCCTGGACACCCTCATACCAGGGCCACTGACAGAGTGTAGGAACAAAGCCAAGATCTCAAGCAATGCACTCATCTCAAGGGGCAGAAGGCTAGTCCAAGCTCCAGGCACCAGGGTTTATGGGTCATTAGGGCAGTTCCTAAAGGAGGAGGATGAAGCTAAGCTGCAAAATCAGGCAAGTGCACAAACTCAAATTGAAACAAACAAGTTAAACACTAGAGACTTACTGTAATGAAACCATAACCTTTAGAGCGGCCTGTATCTGAGTCCTTCATCAGGACAATATTATCAATCTGTAGAAGAGGAAGAAATTATTAATAATCTTTTGGGTAACCCACGCTTTTGACCTTTCCTATCCAGACTTCTAAATACCTCCAACTTTCAAGCCACCAATTACATGTCTCCAAGTCTTTTTAAAAGGAGACAAAGGACATTTTCCCCCAAAACACCTTTTCTGACTAATCTTACTTAATGTGGGCCCCTTTACTTGATTTCACGGTGCTAACTCATCTGCCTACTGGACAGTCTGAACAGAGAGATGGAGCCTAACTTTCCCAGCACGGATCCATATGCCCATTACTCTGCATGCAATGGGTTAATCATGGTCATACAGAATGAAGAGGAAAACTCACCCTCCCCACTTTCCCAATTCCATTCAGAGGCTTCCCTCATTTTCCACTCACTTTGCCAAAGGGCTCAAAGATGCCCCGCAGCATGTCTTCAGTGATGTTGAAGTGCAGGGAGCCCACAAAGAGGCGCATTGGTCCACCACTGCCCTTCTGCAAGTTATTGGCCATGGCTGCCAGTCGGTTTTTCTCAGCCTGAGGAGGGAGGAAATGATGGCTCAGGTTCCAACCTCCTACTTTCAACCTGTCTTCTCCTGTCAGTTTCTCACGCTACTCACCTGTGAGGCCTGTACAATGATAGGCACCCCCAGCAGCCGCTGCCCAGTCAACCCAATGGCTAGCGGCACAGACTGGATTTCACAGAATTCCACATAGGCAATGCCCTTAGAACGACGTGAGTTCCGATCTGAGATGATACGTACATCACGAACCTATCCAGGGGAAAAAGAAAATCCTAAATTGGGCATAAAGGGGGATGGACAGAAGATAAGACTATTCAGAAGAAAATTAAAGAGGGAAAGGTTACTTTGCCAACAGCAGAGAAAAAGTCTTCCAGGTCTCGAGGCCGAATGCGGGCAGCTAACTGCATACAGAAAACTGTTCGAGCATCACGCTCCTCGGGACTCAGATTATCAACTGGTTCCCTAAAGAATGAATAAAATTTCTGAGACTTCACCCCACCCCAATACTTGGTCATTGTTCTCCAGATACCCTCAAGTACTATACATTGCTGAAGTTTTACTCAAAGAGCTTTTTATTCATACTGCACAATCCCTAAAAATGTGCTCCTTATCAACTCACCTGACTGGGCTCTTCTCTCTGAAATGAGGACTCTTACTCTGTCCATACCTACGCCTAAGGAACAGAGAACAACAAAAGCGAAAATTATGTCACCCAGCTTTATTCACACTGGTCCAATGCTGGGTCTCTCATCATGAGAAAACCAGATCCCACCACCTCACCTCACATGTGAATTCTTAATAGCACCCCTGCAGTAACTGGACCTCCTTCCTATCACAGTGGGCAGAGGCATCCCAGCGTGCATTTTACCCACATTACCATACAAAGGTAAGCTTATAGCAAAACGTAATACCCAGTGGCAAGTGGTGGGCTCCTGTAACGCACACGACCTTCACGGCGCCAGTCCCGAATTCGAGACTCACTACTATGATGATGGTCCCGGCTATGGCTGCGGTGATGACGCTGCCGATCTCGACTTCGGCTCCGACTATTTCTCCGTCTGTATCGATCCCGGTCTCGACTATGACTACAGATGGAAAGAACTATTTACTTTGGTAAAGAACCAACCAATCTCTTCTGGTCTTCAATGTATCGCTTTCCCTGGTATCTTTCCATTTATAGTAATTCTCAAAACCCAACAGTCTCCAAAATGACTGACCTGCGCTTCCTATCCCTGCTTTTACTATGGCTCCGACTCCTCTTCTTCCTGTGAGAAATATTGTAAATTCTTATTATCGTGAAGGTTTCATTATCTGTCCCAAGTAAAAAGAATGGCAGTATGGCCAGGGTGAAACACAAAGCAGTAAAAGGGCCAAAGCCCAGGTGATCTGGCAGTACTTCACAGCAACGGCAAAAAGTCAGCACACACATAGCCCTGGATGCTGTCAGGGATCATAAGGAGCTGATGTTTCCAAAGTAGGGGACTTCTTGCTATCCTACTCAAAGAAACTATCAATGCTAGGACTGATGCTCATAACTACACTGAAAAGCTTAAACTATATCATTAAACCAAGTCACCATTATTCCTAAGACCAGTGAAGGCATTATTGAAAGTCAGCAGTCTTAGAAGCAACTACCTCCCTGTTCTGGCCATTTTCTAGGGGACACAATTGTTTTCCTTCCTAAGTTGCCAACCCATTTCCTCACGCCACACTTACCTGCTTGTCTCCGCAGTAGTACTGCTCACACTGCCACTGTTGCTGATGCTGGTGTTGCTAGGATCATCCTTTTTAACCTCCTTCCTTTGCTGCTCATCCTCAGAGATGCGCCAGGAAAATGTCACAAAGTTTAAAGTGGTAGACACACAGATTCCATTGGGCACCGAAAGAACAAAAGTGGACACGGAAAAAAGCATATGAAATTAAAGCTCTCAATTACCTAGCCAACTTTTAAGCACCTGGATCTCCTAATAAAAGGAGTAAGGGAGGGAGGCAGGAAACTACTTACAAGGAAGAGATCAGAGTGACAAATGTTGACATCAAAACTTGAGCTATTCAACATCTATTTCTCAGGAGAGTGAGAAATCACTTATGTCTGAGGTACACTGAGTTTCTATTGTATCACTGAAATCTATGAGAAAAGTACTCATTCCCACCACATTATGTGCCCCCTCCTACTTTGGGGTGCCCACTCTGAAAGCATGGCTCTTGGGTATGGGTCTCCTGCACAGCTTACTAAACGACTATGCCTTTTATGAATAGCCACTGGACACAACAAACAAGTGGGGAGAGGAAATTCACAAAATGTTGAAATTAATGATCCACAACTGCTTTTTCTTATTAACCCAATTCCAGGAGTGAAGTGGGAATATTACCTCCTCTTTTTTATAGGGAGCTTCCAGCATGGCCTCAATCACTATATCAAAGTCATCGGATGCCATCGTAGCAGATCTGAGGAGAGGATTTCAATACATAAGAACCTCATTCATATTTTTTTCTCCCCTTCCAGCACACTACATTCTTCCTTCCCTCCAAGAAACAGACTTCATAGTTCTGCTTCATAAATTCCAAAGCAGTCTTACCATTTGTTGCTTAACCTAGTTTTGCACCTTACAGACCAGAACTATTTTTGCTTGGTGGCTTAGAACACGTCAAGGGTCTAGAAGGAAACTAGATAGACACAAAATTTAATACAGACCCTGTCCTATCATGTGAAGAGAAAATGTTGGTACTCAAAATTACCATTCACTTTACAATGAACACTAGACCACCATTCTATTGTTCAAAATTCTGAATAACTGGTTTAAACTTAAATCACAAAGTACACATTTCTAATAAAAAAGTAAAAATACAATACTAAAAATAAGAATCAAGACAAAGCAACACCAGAATAATGCAGATCTGCCCTAAGCTTTCCCACCATATCCCTCCCAACATCAATAATTAAGGGATTCATCATTAAGCATTTTCCATACAATACCAACTAGAGTTTAGATAACTCAGAAAGATTAAGACAGGCTTAACCAATCCCACTTTGAAGCCTTTCTGTCTAGACAGGCAGGGTAAGACTTCTCGCCTCCCCCAAGCTTTCGCATCTAGCAATCATCTTTCCCAAGTCTGTCCACCACAGTCCTGTTAAATAAGAAAAACAGAAGATACCAAACAAAATCAATAGGACAAATTACTCAAAAGTTACTAGTTTGAAATTATCAATATATACAACATGGATGAATCTCAAAATAATTATGCTGAAAGAAATGAGACAAAAAAGAAAAGTATGCGTTGTATTACATTTTTTAAGATTGTATTTATTTATCTTTTGAGAAACAGGAAGGGAGGAAGAAATAAAGAGAGAAACATCAATGTGAGAAACATTGATGGCTGCCTCTTGCACATGCCCAGACCAGGGAATGGGCAGCAAACCAGGCATGTGCCCTGACCAGGAATCAAGCCAGCAATCTTTCCCTTTGTGAGATGATGTCCAACCAACTCAACACCACCAGCCAGGGCTGCATGATTACATTTATAAAAAATTCTAGAAAACACAAATTAACCCATAGTAACAGAAAGCAGATCAGTGATTGCCCAGGGATAAGAACAGGTAAGGAAGGACTAAGAAGAAATAAGTACAAAAGTCCATAGGAAACTTTGGAGGTGATGTTTCGTGGGTGAAACATCAAAACCCATCAAACAGTATACTTTAAATGTGTACAATTCTATATCAATTATGACTCAATAAAGCCAACTCCCCCCACACACCTAATGTTAAGATTTTTAAAAAGATTTTATTTATTTATTTTCAGAGAAAAGGAAAGAGAGGGAGAAAAGGGGGGAGAGAAACATCAATGTGCGGTTGCCTCTCACATGGCCCCCATCCCAGGCATGTGCCCTGACTGGGAATCGAACCAGTGACCCTTTGGTTTGTACCCCACATTCAGTCCACTGAGCTACACCACCCAGGGCAAATCTTAAAAATTTCTATGCTAAGAGGTTAACCATAATGACACTTTCCATATCCACAAGAGCTTTGTCTTCTTTAAAGCAGCCAATATATCCTCCAGTGATGCCGTCTGTGTTGCCCTCAGAACCCATGGACTACCTGATGATTTAATAAAGTAATGAGTAATACAAAAGTTATTAAAAAGTAACATGAAAATAAGTAACATAAAAAATATAAAAATAACAGTAATCATTACACTTATCATTTATAGTAACTAATATTGATTTATGCATGTTACAAAGATAAAATTCTTGGAAAGAGCAAAACAATAAAAATGACTTGAAAACAAGCCCCTGGCTGGCGTAGCTCAGTGGATTGAGCATGGGCTGCTAACCAAAGCATCGTAGGTTTGATTCCCAGCCAGGGCACATGCCTGGGTTGCAGGCCATGGCCCCCAACAACCGCACATTGATATTTATTTCTCTTTCTCTCTCTCTCTCTCCCCCCGCCCCCGCCTTCCCTCTCTAAAAATAAATAACCTTTAAAAAAATTACTTGGAAACAATGGAAATCAAACCAAAATAAAGTAAGGGTTTCTAAAACCCAGTCAACTCAATCTCTCATAACACCTAACATTTATTTAGCAATCAAAGGTACTATATGCTACAGCCAGATATCAGATCCAATCCACAAATGAAAAACTGAAGTTTTGTTAACTGCCCAAAGTCACAAAATCCAAATGAGGAGCTGGCTCATGAGTAGTCTTCTGACCCTACTCTAATGTTCTATCCACTATATTGGTTAGCTCTCTCATGGTTTATAGCTTAACTTTAAATAAAACTAAAAAAAAAAAGTACACAGTATATGAAGATGTCTATTTTAAAATATACTGTATGGAGAATTAATGTTCTGATAGGTGTATCAAAAGAATCAGTCCCATCAGCCACAACTTACTGTGTATGTTTCAAAATACTAAGAACCAGGCTAACTGTAATATATACTATTTGGCCTATTGTGGAAAAAGTTTTAAAAAGAAAAGTTTTTTATCCTCAAACTGTTCCTTTCAGTCATTTTGGCTGCCAAGTCTATACAAATTTTCTAAGTGTCATAAAATTTCTATCTTTTACAATCTGCTTTTTTCTCCCTATATGAAACCCTTCTGATTTCAAGAACTGCTGAGTGTTAGCACAGAGTTAGGGTAACAACACACACACACACACCCCTTTCACTTAAATTGACACATGAACCCCCCCCTCAATCATGGAGTAAAGTTTTCACTCAGACTCAGAAATAAATGAATGAACTGATTTAGGCATCGACATACACAACATGAGCACATTGTAACTGGCAATCTCACTGGGTTTAGTATAGCTTTCTGATGTCCTAAAAGCATTCAAGTCCCAAACACTATGCATTTTTAGGTTAGTTTTTAAACTCTCTCCTTCTCTTAGTTTATGGGTCAAAAGCCATTCAATCCCATCCATTAAATCGCTATAGAGCTTTCTTCCATCCCTGCTCCAAAACTACATTAGGGGCCCACAATCATGGCAATGCCTGGAACCTATCATAACAGTACAGTCAAGACCCAAGCCAGCGCTGAGGCCCCAATGCTGCGGGGGCAAAAGAGAGTGAAGAACCACACTGTCAGTTCAGTTCAGGCAGAATTCACCAAATGCTGGTGATGGTAGCGCCATCTCCTGGGTCCAGTCACTGAGCTGGCACAAACATCTTCAAACTGAAGGCATCTTAATTAAGAACAGGAACAATGAGAAAAATAAAAACATACCCCATGATATGTAACAAGCCAAGACTACGCTTTAAAAAATGGACCTATAAGCACCATCTCTGCGAGGGCCAGGGTCCCAGTGCTAAAAACCTCACATGTGGCCTCAATATACTCTTTCTCCATGAAAAGTGTGGTCACCAAGGAAAGAGGGAAAAGCCCACAGAGGCCAATATACTGAAATGAGTCTTCTAGAAACTTTAGAGTGAGGAAAAAACCCTCAACTCCCTCATCTCTCTGAGTGGTGACACTAGAGGTTGAAAACCGATCCTACGTGTTCTCTCCGCCGGGATTCAATGCTCCCTCCCCAGAAAGGGTGACCCTAAACGTCGGGGCTGCAGCGATCTGGAAAGAGATCTGTAAGTCACTGGGATCCTTGGATACAGCATCTTCATCGGTAAAGGATGTAGCCACGAGGGTGCCGAGCCTTAAAATCCTGACAGTGGACTACATTTAAATAGCAAACACTTCCAAATCCAAGAAAACATTTTTTTTAATTTAATTTTAAAAGTTTGCCTGATTCTGCTCTTGATGCCATTTTCTGCCTGTGACGTCAGGGGCAGGCGCCGTGCGGCAACGTCACGCATAGGTGACGTCGTGGGGGAATCGAGTTTCAAGGTTTCTCACCGGTTCCGGGTCCCCGCAGGGGGGATCCCGGTTTTCTCCGTTCCTTTGGGTTTGTTGGGCAGCGCAAAGCACGGCTGTCTTCCAGAATGTAAATAGTAAAAGCAGCACTGCAACCTGACTGCTCCCCTTCCCACAAAATGGCGGTAGCTCCGCCGTCCGCCGTCTTCCAGAATTTTCCCCAATGTGCGCAGGCGCTTAAACATTGAAGCGGTGGACCCAACCTCCCTGGTTTCGCGGCAGCAGTCCAAAATGCAGATTTTTATTGGCTAAAATCCTAACCACAGGTGGAGCCAAACTCAAACATTTCTTAGCAACCACCAAGTTCCCATTGATTGGCTAAACTCTCCTAGACTTCCGGAAAGTGGAAGTGGTCTTAAGCAGCCGCCCATCGCACCCATTGGTTGTGACTTGAGGAAGGCAGGGAAGGCAGGGAAGCTGGGCAGGAAAACAAGAGGTGAGGACCCTCCTACCTAACTCTCTGCGCTCCAGCTAATTCACTTACGTGGCCAGAGCCCACCAGGAGGTATAGTAGACGTTCTTCGCTGCCCCCGTAGATTTGCCAAGGGGGTCATGCAGCTCTTGGATGGGTTTGTGGAACGCAACTGCATTGGCTTCACATAGGGAACGGGGCTAGACTCTACGTCCCCATTCTGAGTAGTCTGTCGACACTACCCTCCCAAAATGCTTTCTTCTGCCCTCAGTGCTTGGGACCTGGGGAACATAAGTTTTGTCAAGGATTTGCCTTGTCCTACAGCTCACATACTTCGGGTTGAAATCAGTACCCCACACCCCTCATCCTGCAAGAATAAACTTGAGACACTTCTCAGGTGACCCCTTCCAAGCAGCTGTACTCAACCTTCTAACCAGAAAGGGATAGAATTTATATTCACCCTCCAATCCCAAGACTTCCAAAACATTAGCTGGTTCTAACGGAGAAAGAGCCCGAGTCAGAGGACCTGTTCTAGTCTGGATTTGAATACTTTGTATTACTGTACCAATTTCCAATACCTCCTCTATAAAATGATGAATTGGACTAGAGGACCTCTTAGGACTCTTAACACTATGATTTTATTCAAAAGAAATAGGTGGCTTCTGGGTGGAGATGCCTGGATGGCTCTGTTTCTCTCACTAGAGGTAACAAAGGTGCTGACAGTTTGGCAGCTCTGGAACATGGAAGGAAAGTTGGCTTTACCTACCCCATCTTTTTCCATGGTGGTAAATTATGTCTCCTCCCCAGACGAAAGCCTAATCACAGGTCTTAATGGACAAAACCTGTCTGTAGCTAGTCAGAAAGGCCTATACACAGGAGTCCAAGAATCATCACTAAGCTCCCCAAAGTACCTTTGGGTCTTGGATAAGGGCACACAGATCTGAACATGCCTAGGTTTAAGAAAGGTGTGGGAAAGCACAGGCGGAGGGAGGAGGAAAGGCCATAACTTCACTTTATTTGTATTTCTTCCCACACAAATCCATCAAAACAGGAAGAGATGGGCAGAGAAAGGGCTGAAAATGTGTTCAATCTGCATGTTCTCAGGGCTATTCCAAGGGAGCACTTGAGGCTGAGTGCCTGTTGGAGTAGCTTCACAGCTAGCACTAATTCCTCATGCCTTGGCCTGAAGTCTTCACAGACTGGTGGCTTGAGTCTGTAATTAATTAATTCTCCTTTGCCCACTTTGATGTAAGGCAGGAAGGCAGACTGAAATGCTCCTCTCTGATGGGCAGGGGGAATCACAGACCACAGCTGTACTGCACCTTCTGTGCTACAGGAACAGAGCCTGAAGCTCCTGCCGAATATTTGCAGGCAGAGCTAGAGGCCAATGGTGTATGAGCGGCCCGTGGGATTGTGAATAGCAGAACAGACTGGTGCTGTCACAGCCCACTCATACCACACCTTCTTAGAATTGCTGCATCGCCAGAAACGCACACAGATGGTCTGGCCTTCACGCACTGTAATGGGCTGCTGTAAGAAAAAAGACAGAGTTTTAGGGTGGAGCTAATAAATTATATGTTGCAATGTGCTAAGTTAAGTGTGGAGATAAAATGATAAAACATGATACCTCAACCCTCATGAAGTTTATTTGAAGTCTATCAGAACAAATAATCAGAACTTAAAAGTCAGGCATTAAACAATCTAAAATGTGATCAGTGCCGTGACATGCACAGGGTGCTATGAATGCACCCATGAAAGGGAATGCTTAACTTAGCCTAGGAGGTCAGAGAGTTCTCTGACAATAAGCATGTTTTTAAGGAGACCTGCAAGATAAACTGGCTGGGTGAAAGGGTACCCAAAGCAGTTTACAGGCAAAGGAGAAAGGTATGGAAGCCTGAGGCCAGAAAGATGAGTATTAGAGGAACCAAACGCCAGTCCACTGGACTGCAGCAATGTAATCAAGGAGACAGTAGCTGAAAAGGTAGGCTAAAACCAAATCACACCAAGTCTTATAAACAATGATCAGGATTTTGACTGCTATCCAAAAGATAGTGGAAAGGGCTTTTAAACAGGAGAAAGACAGGATAAGATTTGAGTTTTTAAAGATTTTATTTATTTGTTTATTTATTTTGAGAGAGAAAAAGGGAAAGAAACATCCACGTGCAAGAGAAACATCAATCAGTTGCCTCTCGCATGCCCTGAACTGGGAATCAAACTGGCAACCTTTTGGTTCGCAGACCACTGCTCAATCCACTGAGCCACACCAGCCAGGGCAGATACGAGTTTTTACAAGATGACTTTTACTCAGGGTAGAAAACAGACAGAAGAGCAGCTAGAGGAGATGTGGGGAAGCCAGGCAGAAGGCCACTGCAGATATGCCAGTATCTACAACTGGGAACCAAGCATGTGAGAGCAGCAGGACATGGGTCATAAACAAGCATCATCCATAACCCAACAGCTGAAGTTAGTACTTAACCCATGGAGTTTTAAAGGCAATTCCTACCTTTATGGGGAAGAAGATGGGAAACCATGAGAACATCCCAGGGGAGTGAGTCTCTGGACGGATACCTATGTGGACAAGATAATAAAAAAATTGAGGTCTCCACGACTGTGCTTTTTGACTAGGTTGAGGAATCTTTTGGATTACTTTAAAACAAGTAATCAAAGATCCCCATTCACTGACCCCTGGGCTCCCTGTGACTCTAAGTGAAACATTTACATAAGCTGCCCAGGTAGTACATGCTCATACCCCACCATCCACTGCCCCAGGCACTCACTTAGAGTGATGTCCTGATAAAGCACAGTCTCAAAGTAGCCTGCAAAGCCATGCAGCACTGTGTTCACTTCCACGGGAAATTCCAAGGTACAGTAGCGGTTGTTGTCAATCATAGGATCTGTCATGGAAAAGTTGTATAGGTGACAAAGGGCCAGAAGTCCTAGATAACTTGGTAAAGCATGAGCAAGAACAAAGGAAGCCTAGACAGGGCAGACCCAGGAGAACAAAGGAACAATCAGAAGGGCAAGCTCCTACCCACCCAGTCATAGGACAGATATGCAGGAACCCACCTCTGTTGGGATGGCTGAAGGTAAAACAGGGCTGAGGTGCAGACAGCTGGTGGAAGTTGTGTAGCCGTACCACATAAGGCATCTCAAACTGGGCCTAACCCAAGAGACAAGAGAGCAAGAGAGCTAGAGAAGATAGGCAAGAGATACCTACTGCTTTAAGGAAAGAAGCTCAAGCCTCAGGGGCACAGAAAAGAATGAAAACAAACTTTCACTTCAGCCACTTTCCCATATTCCCAACTCCTCCTCCACCTCTCCATCTTCTGCAATGGAATAAAATAATTGGTGCTAATATGGAAAAATAAACGACTAAAGAGAGAAGTCCTCCAGAAGAAGGGGGCTCTTTACCTCAGGGTCACGGTCCTTTTCCCGACAGGCTCGGACCTCATTGTACAGCTTGGAGGAAGAGATAGGAGCCAGAAAGGAGGTATACTCCCCAGGGATGCTCACACCACCATCTGAGTGGAAGAGGGCACCATTAATTCCCAAGGCTTGGAAATGTTTTATCTGTACTGAGTTCAAACCTCACACATCCGAAGAGACCCAGGCAGCTCTTTGTCGCATTCCCAGGCCAGCCTACCCCTACTCCTGTCATGGGAGACTCCACTTCCAGGTTACTTTATAGTTACAGGATTAAAACTAGAAGGAATCTAAGACATTCTAACTTGTGTTAGTGCTTAACTTGTATGAGCTCACAAAGCTCTTTGAGATCTAAATGAAAGATAAGCACAAAGTACATATCACAGCAGCAGCTCAGGGACTCCACAGACCTCAGATTGAGAGTCTCCGCTTATTTTATAGATGTGAACACAGAGGTTCAGAGAGATTACTTCATTTCCTCAGAGCCATGACCCAAGTCCAACCCTCCTCCCCCTAAAGCTTCCTAGACTACTGTCTACCCAATTCCTCAACCCCACCACTCCTACCACCTCCCCAACTGATAATCCAATCCCCTTACTCAGCACACCCCAGCCTGGAGGCACCTTTTAGGAAGTGCTGGGCTCCATCCAGGCACTCAGGTGACAGTTCATTATCAGCAAAGGAGCCCAGAAGCTCACTGACAATGATATCTGCTTTCTCTGGAGCCACCCATTCCCGCATGTCTGATGAGACTACTGTCACCTGGCTTCCCCATTCTTCAAACTGCCAATTCTCCAGCCTAAAACAGAGATGATACAAGTGAGGACATTAATAAGAAAAACTGACACTGGGGACAAACTTCCCAGCAAGAGGACTGCTACTCACGTCACCACAGCATTAGGGTTCTTCTCCACAGCATACAGCTTTATCCGCCGGTCAGCCTGCTTGGCTGCCCGCAGGGAAGCATTCACCAGGGGACCTCGGCCTGCTCCCAGCACCATCAGCACCCTAAGGAAGAAAGGGGTAGAGCTAAGCTGACTCAGCATACAGAGTAATAGGCACACAAATCTCTGGGATTGTGGGAAGGGTACTCACTGAACATTGGTATCCTTCTCTTCATCTGGCACTCGGTCTAACAGACATTTATAGATGGCCTGGGAGGAAGGAGAGAAAACCTCATGGCTACAATCCTATCCTCACCTAGGTCATTTCAGCCGTGTTGCCTGACCCAATCTAGGACTCACACTGTACCTGCTGATATTGAGAGTATTTGATGGGGTCCTTTTCAAACACTTCATATGTCTGAGATTCCAGATTGTCCATCAGTGGCTGATGAATGATAATAAACAGGCAAAGTAAGTTAGCCAGTTCCTGGCAAGGACAATGCACCAGAATATCA